TATATATATATATATATATACAGCGCAAAAATTCTGTAAATAAAATGAATATCGATATATCTATATATCGGGTGCATTATGGGTAATTTCAATTTAAAAAAACGTTTTCATAAAGGTTAAATACAATGTTTTCGGTGAAATATAATTATAGTGTATATTGTGAGCATTACCGGCGTTTGCATTGCTACGCGGCCACCCCAGAGAAAAATCGCGACGTGCACTTTGCAACAGACTGCCGTCAATCAAACAAGTTGACGCCATTTACACCCGTTTGGATCGGCCCAAATAGGCCCGGTGAGTGTGGCTCATAAAACTTGTAAACAATCGACAAGTTTTGGCGCCTTTTGAATCACGAGGCGCAGCCGAGTGGATCCGCATACTACTTTGAAAATGTGATGACGAATTTTATCGTCAATACAGACACATAAAAAACTGATGTCTATTTGTTTTTTACAATAACAAAAACGATAAAAACCTCTCATTTTTAGCGATCAAAACAACCAACGGAAAGAGCGCGCGCTCGTTGACGTCAGCTTTATCTGTCTGTCCTCTTATTGATGATAAAAAATAACCAATCAGCGCGCGAGAAATTTGTAAGTTATTGTAAAATTATGGATATATAGATATACTTGACTTTTTGACGATTTTGCAAATCGCTGTATACATACATATTATATATATTGTAGATATCGATGAAATACCAGGTTTTCTCTAGTGTCGATAATTTGATATCTTTCACACGTGAAGATATCGCTGTTGAATCGGCTTGCTATTTTAATAAAGAATTTTTGAGCTTTTGTTTTATTTAAGTTTCATCGATATCTATATAATAAACAGAACATTACATGGCCGCTTGGAGATACGAATTTTATCTTCTCGTGTTCAATTTAGATATCTCACTCGTTCGCTGCGCTCACTCGTGAGATATCAATTGAATACTCGAAGATAAAATTCGTATCTCCGCGCGCCCATGTCATATCCTCTATATATGTGCTGTTAGAAAACTCATGATGTATGTTCTCATATTGTACCCAATTCTTCTCCGAATTCGAAATGAACCAAGTTTGATAGAGAAAATCCAAGTTAAAGTTTATGCAAATGAAGACGAATCTATATCAGATATAAATCCTCCTTCATGGTCATGATTTCTATTGTGTTTCCTTCATGAATTATTAATGAGTTTTCTAAAAGGTTTTATATTGTAAAGCGCATAGAGAATGCACTTACTAAGAATATTATTATTATCATCATTATTATATCTCACCATAATCTTTTGCTATTTTTCAAATGTATGTGTACATCATAGTTAACACAGAATTTATTGCAATATTCTGCTATTGCTGTTCATTAAAGTTTTAAATTAGTTCATATAAGTCTATGTACTGTTTAATAAACGAGCAGGAGTGTTTTATCGGGTATTAAACACGAGGCGCAGCCGAGTGGTTTTAGACCCGATAAAACACGATCTGCGAGTTTATTAAACGGCTTA